CCCTTCAAAATCATGAGTGGGTAAAATCCTATATCCTTATGCAAGCCTAAAATGACACTTGGACTAAAGTTCGCATATATATCAATGTATTCCTTAATTAGCTGGTCCGTTCCCCCCAACACATTCCCCTGTAGGTCTCCCCGAACATAACTTTAGTCCGCAGCTCATGTACTTGAATCGGGAAGCATGATGAGATATGTAAATTTTCCAAAGGCCAACCCAGCGTCATACTTCATCATGTAGGCCAAGTAGTCCGCGTCATAGCTCGCGTTGATCAGCTTCAGGTCGGTCTCCGGATCCTTCATGGCGATGCGGGCCACCTGGCGGCCGATGCGGCCGAAGCCGTTGATGCCGACGCCCACAGCCTGCATGGAAGTGCGGTTGCTGGCACGCTTGCCTGCCACGCCTGCGGCGGCCAGGCCGGCCACAGCGCCGAGGCCAGCCATGGCGCCCATGGAGCTCTGCGAGGACGCGCCGTAGCCGGAGGCGCGGAGGTTCGTCTTCGGGGCCGGGCGCTGGACCTGGGAGCCTGGGGCAACGAACGCAACGCCGGACGTGACAGCCACAACCCCGGCACCAGCCATGGCAACGTTGGCGGCAGTGGAAGGCATGATTCCAGAAGCGAGGGGATGCGGGGAAGTGCACTGTCACTATCAAAACTGAGCTAGAGCGGCCATGGGACATCGTTCTCTTGTGTTCTCCTTGTCAGCAGTGGGGTGATTCTTCAAGCAAGGTGGCAACCATTGTGAGTGGCAGAGCAACCACGACTACTGTGATTTCACGCTGATGGATGCTCACAGTTACTTTGCTGTGGTGGACCCCACTGCCCACCACCACCTAAGGAGATTGGTTTCTCCGCTGTCACTCCAAGTGATCCTGAGGCTGCGTGCGATCGTTCGTGACCATCACGACATTCTCGCCGGAGAAGTAGATGCTGCGCACCTGCTACACGTAAAACATTGAAAGGCGCACGGCTCAGACCAGCCTGCTGTTTGGCGCGGAGCGAACTGCTTACCTCGTGTCCTTTGTTGGCTCTTACGGTTTCGGTTTAGGGTGCAGGCCTTTTGAGGTCTACCCTATCCAGGCTCTTGAGTTCACTCCTTTGGAAGATGGGGTGCCTTGCAGGGATTCCTCGTGGTCCAAGCCTCCAAGCCTGGGTCCGGGACCTTGATGCTTCATTCTTGCACACAACCAAGCCAAATGCGCGTCCCTACACCCTGATTCCTGAACCCTCACTGCAAGCCAAGAGGCTTGCAAAAAGCCTGATCTCTGGTCCATAGATCCTTGCCCTTGGGCGCCGAAGACTTTCCCTGGCCCTTGACTAGTTTCAAGGGGCCCGAAGTAAGATTTTTCGGTGCGCAATGATACCATGATTCAACAGGTCAACTCGTCGGATGCAGGTGAGACCATGTTCCTTATATTTCGGAATTCAACACGAGGCCCAGCCGCACCTTAGACTTCCCAGGAGAAAACCAGTATCAGTAATGTTCTCGAAGCAGTCGCTACACAATCCGCACGAGGAGGAACCCTAAACCCTAAACCGAACATACTTCTAAACCTTGAGCCCAAGGGTTCTCTGCTTGAAGCAACTCTCAGAATCTCCAAACCCGACAGCCTAAACCCTCAAACCTAAACACCTCGCGCCTAAAATCAACACCCCCAACAAACCTAAGCCCCCAAACCTAAATCCTGAAACCGAAGCCTCAAATCCCAAATCCTGCACCCTAAACCCTAGACCCTAAGCGACAAACCCTAAGCCCTGCTAAACCCTAGCCCTCCTGAACCCTAAGCCCTAAACCCTAAGCCCTCCTAAAGCCTAAGCCCTCCTGAACCCGAAGCTCTACGACTTTCCTCAGCCTGCCTTGCCCTGCTTCTGCTCCCCAAGCTCCGGGATGAAACACTCCGGCAAGGTCAGGTCCAGATACCTGAAGTATTAAATAAGGGTTTAGGGTTTCTAAGGTTTTAGGGTTTAGGAGTTTAGGGGTTTAGGGTTTGTAGGGTTTAAGGGTCTAGGGGTTTATAGGGTTTAGGCTTTAGAGGTTTAGGGTTTGTAGCGTTCAGGGGTTTAAGGGTTTAGGGTTTGTAGGGTTCAGGGGTTTAGGGGTTCATAGGGTTCGGGGTTTGGAGGTTACAGGGTTTAGAATTTGAATTATTAATTTGGTGGACCCCCCCACCCAATAATAGTGACTATAAGGGAAAATAAGGATTATATTAAGGTCCTCTTATATTCCTGGTATGCCACTATTACAGGGTGGGGGGGGCCACCTAAATGATTCAACTATTAGGATAATGAGGTTAATCTCTATTCATGTTGCGAATACCTGTATTAATAAGAATTGCTGGAATAGTTTGATATGCTTATAATGTCATGAATGTTACTCATATGATGAATATTCTGAATCATATGGTCAATGTTAACACGATGGACATGCTTAATCTGATATGATTACCTTTTTTAAAATTACTATTATTACTGTCATGATTACTGTTATACATGATGGCTGGGGTTTAGGGGTTGAGGGGGTTTGGGGGCTCAGGGGTTCGGGGGACTTAGTGGTTTAGGGCTTATGGGCTTTGGAGATTGGAGTTTGGAGTTTAGGGTTTAGAGATTCAAGGGCTTAGCTGTTAGTGATGAGTATGTTGGTCTAGGTTTGCGAGTGCCGGGGATTTCTCAAACCAGGGGGCCCTTTGGTCGGAATTTCGATTAGGTTTAGGGTTTACGGATTAGGTTTTTTGAACCTCTGCACTTGGTGCAAGGGGGAAAATGATGTTCGTCCAAACTCCTAGGGTTTGGGGTTTCCCCTAGGTTGCCCCTACTTGGGTGGTTGTCAAAATTATGGTCCCTTTTTTGGATCCCTATTAAAATACGGCACCTTATATTTAGGGTACCCAAAAAGGAACCATAATTCTGACAACCACCCACTTATCTCGGAGAAACCCGCAGGCGACCAGCAGCTCAGGGCTACGCTCGCGGATCTTGGCCTTGAACTCGGCCTCGCTGGCTCCGTTGCCGTTGGTGGCCTGGGCTGGGTTTAGGGTTCAGGTTTTAGGGTTTAGGGTTCAGGGTTTGGGGTTCAGGTTTTAGGGTTTAGGGTTCAGAGTTTAGGGTTCAGGATTTCGGGTTCAGGGTTTAGGGTTTAGGGCTTAGGGTAAATTACGAACACCGGTGTCAGCTGCAGGGGGGTATGGGTGTTCAAGGCTATGTAGTGTTTGTGGACTTAAATGGTGCTAGCGTTTGGGATTTAGGGTTTAGAGCTTAGGAATCACTGGATTTGGGGATTAGGGTTGGGTTTAGGATTTGAGAAGGGAGGTGCCCTGCGCTTGCCACAGGATCCTCCATCGGCGCCAACACGACCCTCCAATGAAACTTGATACCGGAGGCAGCTTGAACTAAGCAAGATCATTTTCTCCTTCTAAGATACTACATCCAAAGGAGGTGTAATAGCCGTGGATTGCCCTCAGCCTTATGCTGCTGCGATGGCAAGCCAAAACAACCTCCCCTCACACAAGTTGTCCCAACCCGCACCCTTCGTCAGCATTCCCACAATCTTGGCTCCTGGCAGCCATGTGCTGCAGGGTCTGTTGCCCGAGGCCGTCAGAAACAAAGGCTTTGAGCCACTACTATCGGATTTCGCAGCTGATGTCGAGATGTGCTGTTTTGGGCTGGAAGGTTCCTTCTCTCTTTTTTGCGCAGATCCACTTTGAATTGGGGAATGGGTCGTAGTAGGGACGAGCACAGGGGATGATATACAAGGGATCCATTCCCTCATTCCCCACTAAGCACCCCAAAACCCAAACGCCATACTCCCTGCTGAGCACCCGACAGTCTACGGCTTGGGTTTCTTTACATGATTCATTCTGCCCGTCCACATTTCATGGCTGAACGCTTCTCTTGACGTTTGGAAATAAGAATTTGCTGGGTGACCCCAAGCAAAAGGACCCTATGTCTAACATATGACTCTCAGAGGAGCCTTGCTATGGGGGCTGGGGTTTCCAAAGCCCTGTCCAAACCCCCAGACCCTAAACACCTAAACCCTAAACCCCTAGACC